AACACCGTCATCGTCATCATCATCGTAATCAACATCATCATCATTGGCACACCATCATCATCATAAACAACAGCATCATCATCAACCTTTTCATCATCATCATCATCGGACACCATCATCATCATGTCATCATCTCAACATCATCAACATCTTCAGGATCATCAACATCATCATCATCGGGACACCATCATCATCATCAGCAACATCAGCATCATCAACATCACTATCATCGGGACACCATCATCATCACCACCATGGCCATCATCACCATCACCATCATCACGATCATCGGGACACCATCATCGTCACCATCATCATCATCATCAACATCATCATCATCGGGACACCATCATCATCATCATCATCATCGGAACACCACCATCATCATCATCCCATCATCATCATGAACAACATCACCAATATCATCATCATCGGAACACCATCATCATCATCATCAACATCATCATCATCAACATCATCATCATCATCATCATCATCGGGACACCATCATCAGCAACATCAGCATCATCATCATCGGGTCACCACCATCAACATCGTCATCATCACCTCATCCTCATCTTCAACATCATCATCACTGGGACACCATCATCGCCATCATCATCATCGACATCATCATCATCGGAACACCACCATCATCACCATCATCATCATCATCAACAGCATCATCAAGCTCATCACCATCATCACCACCATCATCATCATCATCATCATCATCATCATCATCATCATCATCATCATCATCGGGACACCATCGTCATCATTATCATGTTCATCATCTTCATCATCTCGTGGTCTCATCATCATCATCAACATCATCAAGATCATCAACATCATCGTAATCATCATCGGGAGACCATCCTCATCATCAGCAACATCAGCACCAGCAACATCATCATCATCGGGACACCATCATCATCACCACCATGGCCATCATCATCATCATCATCATCATCATCATCATCATCATCATCATCATCATCATCAACATCGTCATCGTCATCATCATCATCATCATCATCATCATCATCATCATCATTACGCTGCCGAGGAACCCCACATACTTACATTATGGCTGGAGTGATGATAGCTGAAGGGAAGCATGTAAGAATGATGTTGGTGGCCGTTGCCACCCCCTGCGCACCCCCTATTTTGTCCAGAAAGTGCCACGCCTGCTATGCCCTGGACGACCGTCGTGCATAGCGGCCGCGGTGAGGGACCACCCCCTGCGCACCCCCTATGGTGTCGAGAAAGTGCCACACCTGCTATGCCCTGGACGACCGTCGTGCATAGCGGCCGCGGTGAGGGACCAACCCCTGCGCACCCCCTATGGTGTCGAGAAAGTGCCACACCTGCTATGCCCTGGACGACCGTCTCGAATAGCGGCCGCGCTCGGGGACCACCCCCTGCGCACCCCCTATGGAATCGAGAAAGTGCCACGCCTACTATGCCCTGGACGACCGTCTCGGATAGCGGCCGCGCTCAGGGACCACCCCCTGCGCACCCCCTATGGAATCGAGAAAGTGCCACGCCTACTATGCCCTGGACGACCGTCTCGGATAGCGGCCGCGCTCAGGGACCACCCCCTGCGCACCCCCTATGGTGTCGAGAAAGTGCCACGCCTGCTATGCCCTGGACGACCGTCTCGGATAGCGGCCGCGCTCAGGGACCACCCCCTGCGCACCCCCTAAGTGTCGAGAAAGTGCCACGCCTGCTCTGCCCTGGACGACCGGCGCGGATAGGGGGACCACCCCGTGCGCACCCCCTATGGTATCGAGAAACTGCCACGCCTGCTACGGCCTGGACGACCGGCGCGGATAGGGGGACCACCCCCTGCGCACCCCCTATGGTGTCGAGAAACTGCCACGCCTGCTACGGCCTGAACGACCGGCGCGGATAGGGGGACCACCCCCTGCGCCCCACTGTGGCACCCCCTATGGTCGAGAAACTGCCACGCCTGCTACGGCCTGGACGACCGGCGCGGATAGGGGGACCACCCCGTGCGCACCCCCTATGGTGTCGAGAAACTGCCACGCCTGCTACGGCCTGGACGACCGGCGCGGATAGGGGGACCACCCCCTGCGCACCCCCTATGGTGTCGAGAAACTGCCACGCCTGCTACGGCCTGGACGACCGGCGCGGATAGGGGGACCACCCCGTGCGCACCCACTATGGCGTCGAGAAACTGCCACGCCTGCTACGGCCTGGACGACCGGCGCGGATAGGGGGACCACCCCCTGCGCACCCCCTATGGTGTCGAGAAACTGCCACGCCTGCTACGGCCTGGACGACCGGCGCGGATAGGGGGACCACCCCGTGCGCACCCACTATGGCGTCGAGAAACTGCCACGCCTGCTACGGCCTGGACGACCGGCGCGGATAGGGGGACCACCCCCTGCGCACCCACTATGGCGTCGAGAAACTGCCACGCCTGCTACGGCCTGGACGACCGGCGCGGATAGGGGGACCACCCCCTGCGCACCCCCTATGGTGTCGAGAAAGTGCCACGCCCTACGGCCTGGACGACCGGCCACCCCCTGCCTGCGCGGACTGACGACGACCCCGTGCGCACCCCCCGGCTACGGCCTAGGGGGACCACCCCCTGCGCACCCCCTATGGTGTCGAGAAACTGCCACGCTGCTACGGCCTGGACGACGGCGCGGATAGGGGGACCACCCCTGCGCACCCCCTATGGTGTCGAGAAACTGCCACGCCTGCTGCGGCCTGGACGACCGGCGCGGATAGGGGGACCACCCCGTGCGCACCCCCTATGGCGTCGAGAAGCTGCCACGCCTGCTACGGCCTGGACGACCGGCGCGGATAGGGGGACCACCCCCTGCGCACCCCCTATGGTATCGAGAAAGTGCCACGGCCGCTACGGCCTGGACGACCGAGCTGAGTTGTGCTGTGCTGAGCTGAGCTGAGCTGTGCTGAGCTGTGCTGAGCAGTGCTGTGCTGTGCTGTGCTGTGCTGTGCTGTGCTGTGCTGAGCTGTGCTGTGCTGTGCTGAGCTGAGCTGAGCTGAGCTGTGCTGAGCTATGCTGAGCAGTGCTGAGCTGAGCTGTGCTGTGCTGAGCTGAGCTGAGCTGTGCTGAGCTGAGCTGAGCTGAGCTGAGCTGTGCTGAGCTATGCTGAGCAGTGCTGTGCTGTGCTGTGCTGTGCGAGAAGGAGAAGGGGAGGGGGGAGGTGTGAGACGCGGGTGCGGCGCGGCAGGGAAGAAAACCAGAACCCCACGAAACATGTGGGGAATTATCATCGTCATTATCATCATCATTATCAACGGGACACCGATGAGACACCGGCGGGACACCGGCGGGACACCGCGGGGCACCGGTTGCCAGAACGGAGACTTTTGGTCAGGCCGCGCCAAAGCCAGAGGCGGGGCATTTCTCGCCCGCCCACGCAGCTTCGCCTCGCCCGCACGCACGGCACGCACGAACACGAAACCGAAACCGATTTCCCGGTAGGGGGGCTCTCCGTTCCACTTCGATCTCACCCCATCACCTCCGATATAGCCCTATAGCCCTACAGCCCTATAGCCTTGTAGCCGTAATTACCCTAGAGCCCTATTGCCCTAATAACCCTAATAGCCCCATGGCCCAATGGGTTTATAGCCTTCTAGCCTTCTAACCTTATAGCGTAAAGCCTTATAGCCCTATAGCCCTATAACCTTACAGGCCAATAGCCCTGCAGCTTGACAGCCCTATAGCCCTGTAGCCGTATATCCCTATAGCCCCATATCCCTATAGCCCGAAAAAGATTATGATTTTGTTTTTCCCCGTTATTCCCCATATCCTAAGGATGGGTTTTTTGGTCCCGGTATCCAAAGGATGGCATTCTTGTTATTCCCTTACCGCACCGGACCTCCCACTTCCCTCCTCCGTCTCTGCACCAGACAATCATGCTGATTGTCATGATGATGACCATGTTATGGTGCAAGTATGATGTGAGTATGATGGTGATGGTGAATGATGGATGAGTAAGATGATGATGATGATGATGATGATGATGATGATGATGATGATGATGATGATGATGATGATGATGATGATGCTGTTGATGATGATGATGATGACGATGATGATGATGATGGCGATGATGATGACAACGATGATGACGATGGTGATGATGATGATGATGATGATGATGATGATGCTGATGATGATGATGATGATGATGATGATGCTGATGATGATGCTGATGATGATGATGATGATGACGATGATGATGATGATGATGATGATGATGATGATGATGATGATGATGATGATGATGATGAACAGATGATGACGATGTCTCGAGCGGCTTGCTGGTGTTAGCACTCCGAAGGGGGGCCGCCAGGGGGTATTGCACGGCCTCCGTTCGCGCTCAAATGGCGGGGATGTCTCGAGCGGTTTGCCTGTTTGCACGCTCAACATCCTCCGTTTTCAGAGCAGACTTTGAGGATGTCGAGGCGCCTCTTAATGGGGGGGCCGCCAGGGGTGTTGCACGGCCTCCGTTCGCGCCCAAATGGCGGGGATGTCTCGAGAGGTTTGCCTGTTTGCATGCTCAACATCCTTCGATTTCGGAGCAGATTTGGAGGATGTCTCGATCGGTTTGCCAGTTTTGGTGGCCGGACTCGTGGGCACAGATTCTCCCCAGGATGGCACAGGAGGCTCCAGCAGGCTCCAGGAGGCCCCAGGAGGCTACATGAGGTCCCAGGAGGCATCAGGAGGCCACAGGAAGACTCAAGAGGCCACAGGATGTCCCAAGAGGCTCCAGGAGGCCCCAGGAAGCTCCAGGAGGCTTCAGGAAGCCACAGGAGGCCCCAGGAGGCCACAGGAAGCGCCAGGAGGCCCCGGAAGGCAACAGGAGGCCCCGAGAGGCCCCAGGAGCAGGAGGCCTCAGAAGGCAACAGGACTGGCTCCAATCCCATGTGTTTTACGTATGCTCCTATAGATTGGGCCTCACCTGGAGCACGAATCCTTGATGTTATTCGTATGTTTCTATGGATTGTCCTTCTCCTGTGTATACAATCCCAAATATTTTACGTATGTTCCTATAGATTAGGCTACCAATGGGGCACGAGTCCTTGGTATTTTACGTGTGTTCCTGTAGACTGCCTTTATCCTGTGGCTCCAATCCGCAATGTTTTATTTACGTCTGTTCCTATAGTTTGGGCCTCTCCTAGGGCACGACTCCTCCCTAGGAGTGCCCATGAGGCCCCAGGAAGCCCCAGGAGGCCACGCGAAGCTCCAGGAGGTCTCAGGAGGTCACTCGAAGCCCCAAGAGGCCCCAGGAGGCCCCAAGAGGCTCCTGGAGGCCCCAGGAAGCCCCAGAAGGCTTCAGGAGGCCCCAGGCTCATGCGCAGAGACGCGCTCGTACTTTTGAGACTCATACGCACTCCAGTTCATTCGCACCTAGATTCGTAACCAGACCGTCACATCTCAAGCTTGCTTATATTCGGAAGCTCTTGCGCCTAGACATTCACGGTGGACAGGTCCATGCGAATAGATGCACATATGGGGAGCTCCACGCAATGAGTAATTGTAATTTAGACCGCGCGGAACGCGAGCACACCTTCCATCCTCAACACCTCCCACCCTCAGGTCATCATTCTCTGACTCACTCACATGTAGATTCACTCATTCACAGAGGTATTTGTACTCAGATACACTCGCTCTTTGATTCTTGATGCTCAGGTTTCTCATGCTCGGGATCACTCATACGCAGAGTTATTCACGCTCCTGGTACTTCCACGCTGAGACTCACACACACGTAGTGAGAATGTCTCAGGCGAAGCGCTGGTTTCAGTATTCCCAAGGGGGGGCGCCACGGGGTATTGCATTTCTTCGTTCGCGCCAAAATGGCGGGGATGCCTCGAACGGTTTGCCTGTTTTGGTGCCCTACATCTTCCGCTGTCGGAGCAGATTTGGAGGATGTCTCGGGCGAGGCGCTCATTTTCGTTTCCGAGGGCGAGCCGCCAGGGGGTATTGCACTCTTACGTTCGCGCCAAAATGGCGGGGATGCCTCGAGCGGTTTGCCTGGTGGTGCCCGACATCCTCTGCTTTTGGAGCAGATCTGGAGGATGTTTCGGACAAGGCGCTCACTTTCGCTTCCAAGGGAGAGCCGCCAGGGGGTATTGCACTCCTCCGTTCGCGCCCACATTGGGATGTCTCGAGCGGTTTGCTTGTTTTCGTGCCCGACATCCCCCGTTTTTCGGAACAGTTTTGGAGGATGTCTCGAGCGAGGCGCTCATTTTCGTTTCCAAGGGGGGCCGCCACGGGGTATTGCCCTCCTCCGTTCGCGCCAGAATGGCGGGGATGCCTCGAACGGTTTGCCTGTTTAAGTGCCCGACATCCTCCGCTTTCGGAGCAGATTTGCAGGATGTCTCGAGCGCTCATTTTCGCTTCCAAAGGGGGACCACCAGAGGGTATTGCAGTCGTCCGTTCGCGCCGAAATGGTGGGGATGTCTCGACCGGTTTGCCTGCTTCGGTGCCCGGTATCTTCCGCTTTTGGAGCTTTTTTTTCCGAAGATGTCTCAGGTGAGTCGCTGGTTTCAGAACTCCCAGGGGCGCCAGGGGGTTTTTCACAGGCCCGTTCGCGCCCAGATTGGGGGGATGTCCCAGGCGGTTTGCCTGTTTTGGTGCCCGACATCTTTCTCTTTCGGAGCAGTTTCCGAGGATGTCTCAAGCGATGCGCTGGTTTCAGCACTCCCAAATGGGGGGCGCCAGGGGATATATCACAGGCCCGTTGGCGCCCAGATTGGGGGGATGTCTCAGGCGGTTTGCCTGTTTGGGTGCCCAACCTCCTTCTCTTTCGGAGCAGTTTCCGAGGATGTCTCATGCGAGGCGCTGGTTTCAGCACTCCCAAGGGGAGGCACCATGGAGTATTGCACGGGCCTTTTTTCGTCTTCGCGGATGGATTTTCCTGACAGGTGTTCATCGGGAAAGTAGGAGAAAGAGGAGGAGGAGGAGGAGGAGGAGGAGGAGGAGGAGGAGGAGGAGGAGGAGGAGGAGGAGGAGGAGGAGAGGAGGAGGAGGAGGAGGAGGAGGAGGAGGAGGGAGGAGGAGGAGGACAAGGAGGAAGAGGAGGAGGAGGATGGAAGGAGGAAGCAACTACTTAAAGTTGTCGTAGTCGTCGGCGTCTCTCTTGGCATCGTTTTCCACGCGGATTCGCCGACACTAGGATATTGAAAACGGACAATGTCTTCTACCGAAGGCTGCCATTACTATGAGATGCACATATGGGGATCTCCGCGTCGAGTATTTTTTAAACACTTGTTTTCGATTCGCGCGTCGAGAGCGCACCTCTTCTGGTCGAAGCTACGCGGGCCGCGCGAAGCTTGAATTAAACATGGAGGGGCAGGAAAGGGGGGAGGGCGCAGCCTCAGAGCGAGGCCGGGAGGAGGCAAAGCCTCGGATTCGGTAATCATAAGCAGACACTGTTCGGACCCCATGTAGGAGGCCTCGGAGGTGCCGCTCCCGGGCGCTCCATGGCTGGGGCCGCGGGTGCCACGAGGGCCACCCGCCAGACCGCTGGCCCCGCAGGGGTGGCATCGGGGGCAGCGACAGGGCCTCCTCGTCCTCGTCCTCCTCCTCCTCCTCGTCCTCTTCCTCCTCTTCCTCCTCCTCCTCCTCTTCCTCCTTTTTGTTCCTCCTCCTCCTTCTTCTCCTTCTTCTCCTCCTCCTCCTCCTCCGGCGGTTTTCGTCGATTGCGGCCCTCTTTTGGGGCCAGGGGCAATTAAAAACTGATCTGGGGCGAAGGGCTGCGCCCCAGGAAGGGGCCGTGACCGCTGGGACTGCGCACTGACAGCCATGTCTGGGGATGTCTGGGGGTCCGAGGAGGAGGAGGAGGAGGAGGAGGAGGAGGAGGAGGAGGAGGAGGAGGAGGAGGAGGAGGAGGAAAAGAAGCAGGAGGAGGAGGAGGAGGAGGAGGAGGAGGAGGAGGAGGAGGAGGAGGTCTGTTAGAAGAGCTGAGATATCGCTACCCTTCATGCCTCCATGGTTGGATTCGCCTCGAGTCCTTGGCACAACGGGAGAGGCCGCGGGGTGGGGCCGCCCCGCCGGGCCCGCTGACCCCGCATGGGTGGCATCGGGGGCGGCGACGGGGTGGTCAATTACCTTAATTTTCTTCGTCGAGTCAACTGAGCAAAACATATAATGTTCGTACACCTACGAGCATTCAATTTTTTTTGGTTCTTTGTATTACAAAAGAAACTAGTAAAAACAAACTGATACAACGGACATTTCATTTTTGTGGTAAACTCAATTTTGTAGTCCATCCCCTACTCGAGACATGCTGGCGCCGTGGCAACAATAGCGGCGCGGAAGGCTTCTGTGCGTTGTCGGCCTCCAGGAGCCCTCGCCGGGCCCCCCCCCCCGTCTGACCGTCAGACAAAAAGCGGTTCAGGGCGAGAAACCAGCCCATGGGGACAGGGTCGGCATTTCTTGGGGCCCGTGCTGGAAGAAAGTCAAGGCAGGGGTCAGGGGATGAGTAGATAGTTAGATGGATAGAGAGATCAAAAGAAATATACACACCTATGCATGCACATTTATGTGCATGTATATGTATATACACATGGATCGATGCAGCGGTATTCAGACACTCGTAGGCTTGCATGTATATTCATTTAAATAGTCGACCGCATCTATTTATTTAGTTTATATATATATTTACACACGTATTTACCGCGCGACCCACCCGCTACCCGCCCGCGACCCGCCCAGGGCCCACCCACGACCCACCCGCGACCCACCCGCGACCCACCCGCGACCCGCCTTGTTTTGTATTATCAACATGTGCCTGCGGCGGGCTCGCTACGTATGTCACAAAAGAATCGGCGCCTGCGGCGGGCCTCTTTAAATTTTCGTTCGAACCTCGTGAACCGCCGGCGACCCACGCCCCCTCACTCTTAGCTGCAATTGCGGGGGCTATCATAAGGATAATCGCCGATCCTAGGTCTGCAAACACCTGTCCTGGAAAGGCCCGTGAGTAGATGGAGTCGGTGGATCGCGCCGCATCGCCGATGCATCGGCGATGCGGCCGATGTGGATCCCGATTCTCTCTATGCCGACGTCGCCGATGCATCGCCGATGCATCGGCGACACATCGGGGAGACATCGGCGATGCGGCGCGACCCTCCGACCCCATTCGCTCGAACCCCGTTTAGGTGGCCTCCAGGGACTGGCCCGGGGGGGGGGGGGGAAGCGCCGATCCCCAATCTCGGAGGAGGCCCCCCCTGGTGCCTTTCGCCCCCTCTGCCTCCACGCCTGGATCCGCCTCCCAGACCGTGGCTGGGATGCACCCCGAGAGGGGTCTGGGGAGCCGGGCGAGAGAGCCGGATGGGGAGGAGGAGGAGGATGAGGAGGAGGAGGAGGAGGAGGAGGAGGAGGAGGAGGAGGAGGAGGAGGCGGAGGAGGAGAGGAGGAGGAGGAGGAGGAGGAGAGGAGGAGGAGGAAGGAGGGAGGATGAGGAGGAGGAGAGGAGGAGGAGGAGGAGGAGGAGGAGGAGGAGGAGGGGAAGCGAGGGAGGAGGAGGAGGAGGAGGAGGAGGAGAAGGAGGAGGAGGAGGAGGAGGAGGAGGAGGAGGAGGAGGAGGAGGAGGATGAGGAGGAGGAGGAGGGCGAGAGAGCCGTTGGTGCCTCAGCTGGCCATCCTCCGACAATCGCCCGTCGGGGCCTGGGGCCTGTAACCCTGCCCTGGGGCCTGCGGTCTCGCCATCGATGGCCCATCGCCGAGCTGCGGGCGAGGCGCGCACTGCCGATTCCAGGTCGAGGCTTCCTCCCCGAGCCGGCCCCCCGTTTCTCGTAGGCCAGCTGCGAGGCACACACCTGAAGCGTAAGTGAGCGGCGGCCGCGGCCGCCGCGGACAAGAGAGTACGGGGCCTCCTGGAACCCGCTGCTGAATCCTTGGAGGCCCGCTGCAAGTCAGGCGTCTGGCCTCTCATCAAAAGGCCTGAGATCGGCGGGTGCGGGCCAGGACGAGAAACGCCAGCCCCCTCCCCCCTTCTTACCCCTCAGGTGGGGGGCCGAGGCCGCAGCGGAGGCCCGAAGGAGAAGCAACGGCACGACGCACAAGAGCGCTCGGAGAGTCCTCGCGGATCCCTCGGACCGGCGCCGGACCCCCCGCGGCGCGCTGCGCGCCAGGGGAGAGGCGCCCGGCCAGCGGCTGCGCACAGACCGCCCCCCCAGATAGTCCCGTGGCTGGCCTCAACGGGCCCCCCGAGTGTGCCCGGGCGGTCTCAGCACCCCAAGCCCTGGGGCGCGGCGCCAGGGCGTTGAGACCGCCCCGGGCTGCTCGAGAGGCCCGTGGAGGCCAGCCAGGACGAAGACGGGCCCCTGACCTTTCGACCATTTCCCCGGGACCAGTCTTTCATCCCGAGTCGTTTTTTGACGGTCCCGAGGCCCAGCGAGGGGCTCGAAAGGCCGGAAACGACGGAAAAACCGGCGTCTCGACTTTTTCGAGACGCCGGATGCCTCTGAGCCTCACCAGGCCCAGCGACGACCCGAGCGATCCGCGCGGGCCTCCGAATTCGGATATACGCAAGAGTGACCCTGGGTGGGAGTGAACTTTGGTGCGCGGCTTTTGGGGGGCCGCGGGGGGACCAAACCTGGGCGCGCAGGCAGCTGCTACTGCTTCGTCTCCAGCCATCCGGGGACCCCTCCTGTGCCCGCACCAGGAGGTCACTCCTGCGAAAGGTCGCTCCTGCGTCTGGCCGAGCCGATGCCTCTTCTTCTGGAGGCGGGCCCCTCGCAGGCCGGCGCCCGGAGTGGGCGCACGCGCCTCAGCCCCAAGGCCCACGTCTACGTCCCCGCGGTCGCCCCTCGGGCCGCGGCGGTCCGCACCTGGGGCGAAGCTCCGGGGAAGAAAAAGGTGTCGCTGCCGCCGTGAGCTCTCGGTATCGCTCGGGCGTGTGCACGTTTTCTCGGCGGGGATTATTAAGGAGCATCCTGGATCATCCTGCGAAAAAGCCACGCACGAAGCCGAAAAAACACAGGGGGAATGGACAGCGCCAGCCTGGCCTCGTCTTCGGCGTTGTGGGCCTCCCGGGAGGCCCTCGTCGCCGCCTCTGGAGTCGCCTCGAACTCCGGGAGAGGCCTGGGGGGCAGCAGTGCTGGTGCATTCCGGCTTCCCCAGAGGTCGCGTGCGCTCCGTCGGCCCTCTCCGCGTGCGCGGAGTCAGGAGGAGGAGGAGGAGGAGGAGGAGGAGGAGGAGGAGGAGGAGGAGGAGGAGGCGGAGGAGGAGGAGGAGGGAGGAGGAGGAGGAGGTACGGTGTCGGGTCACGCGCGCGAGGTCACGTGCACTCACTCCGGCAAGCAGGCCGAGGAGCTGTGGGCGCACAAGGGGGCACCCACCACGGTGATGATGCGCAACGTCCCCTACATGTACACGCGGCAGATGCTGATCGAGCTGCTGAACCGTCGTGGGTTCGCGGGTCGGTTCGACTTTCTGTACCTTCCAGCCGATTTCGTGACCAAGTGCAACCTCGGTTACTCGTTTGTGAACCTGATACATCCTGATGATGCCATTCGGTTCGTGGAGGTCTTCGATGGCTTCAAGGAGTGGGACTGCGGCACGAACCGCCACAAATCTTGTGTCGTCGATTGGGGCGCCATACAAGGATTTCGTGCGAATGTCGGTCGCTTCAAGTCGAAGAAGATCATACGTCTTGACATCCCCGAGGAATACAAGCCAGTTCTGTTCTGGAAAGGCATCCAGATCCCGTTCGAGTCTTTCATTAGGACATCTCCGTGTCAGCAGGTCGAGCCAGCATAGACAGACTTGTCGGGCTCGGATCACATTCAGATCCGAGTCTTTTCCAGTTCAGAGCTTGCAGCTTTCCCAATGGCTGCGGAGAAGACGGCAAGACAGCAGTGTCCGAGAGACCGCAGCAGGGGAGGCGAGCGCCTGCAGGGCTTCACGGACAGGTGGTACATATTTCGTAAAGATGGAAGACCATTTGACACACGTCATCAGGTCTTCCTCTGGGGTGAACGCTCAGCGCTTTGAGGACCCTTGTTGCCAACCTTTGCCAACTCAGTTGCTAGATGTCACCGCAAGCTCAAGTCCACAAGACAGCCTGTTTATGTCTGGTATGATTGTGCACGGCTTGGTAGTCACGGTGAGGGTCCACGGGGTTCCAGCAGGTTTCTGCTGACAATGGCATCTGCTCTGGCCGTGTTCCGCTTCTGCTCTGGAGCCTCGCGCTATCTCACCAGCCCTCCGCGGAGCGGATTCGCGACGACGTTCCGGGTGGCCTGGTGCCCCGGGCCCCGGGGAGGCCAAGTGGAGGAGGAGGAGGAGGAGGAGGAGGAGGAGGAGGAGGAGAAGGACGACGAGGAGGATGAGGAGAGGGTGATGAGGATGAGGCGGATAGCCAGGTGTTTGCAGACGGAGTCAGCTAGGGAGGTCAGTGGTCGGGTGACAATGGCCTTCGAATGGTCTCCACCACTTTCTTCTCGCACTTTCCTCTTATTTAGTTCTTGTTGCTTGAATTTTGTGT